CCCAGCCAGTCTCCGGACCTGAACCCAGCATAAATGTTAGGAGCTAAAAGTCTGTATTACCTGATGACTGGCCCGACACCTGGAGGATATGGAGATAATCTCTATGGAGGAATGGTCCAAAACCCCTACTATACTGTGTGAAAACCTCGTTAAAACTCCGGAAATGTCTACTATCTGTAGTTGCAAACAAAGCTTTCTGTACCATCTCAGTTTTGTTATTATGATGCATCAAATACAAAAAATCAATGGGATGTTTTTAATTTTTGTAATTTGGTTTCCATCACCAACAATTAAAGATGATGTCTTATAAAAACTTAAGTCGTATACATGCTTTGCAAGTTGGAAAACCTACAAAATTGGCAGTTTAGTTCTCACTGTATCTGTCTAACACACAACCATGTTCATGATAACATATATACTAAGCATATATTATAAATTAGGTACTTTTCATTTACATACTTAGCGAGACTAAAAATAAAATGTGGTTTCAAAGTGTCAGCCTACATAAGGTATCAGTCATCTGTTTACCCGTATTTTGAGCATTTTTCCACATGCAATAAGAAAAAACCTGCCTTTGATTGGGCAGCACAGCCCTGTCAAAATGATTGAAATAACAGAGATTGACTGAGAGTACTGAATATTACTTTACTGCTATAATTTTTTCATCAGCATAAATATGTTTTTGACAGGTAATTGATTACAGTTTTTGTGGGAAAAGAGAATATTTTTATAATGGGACTAGATTTCCAAAACGCTTTCTATGTTGGTTAGAAACCTTATGAGTGCAGTTCATATATTCATCTTTTTGATCTTCCCAGCAGTTGAGTGATTCGCTTGGATAAAGCTAGATTTTCATGGCTCAGTTTATTCATTAACTAGATACTTGAAATGGTTTTGTAATTAGGGTTTAGCAAAAAGGTCTGTGTAGCAAATTTCTAGGAACTAAAAGTAGTGGCTAAATTTATCCAAATGTTAAACCAGCACAATAAAAGCAAATATGAAATAAAACAAGTTTATTCTAATACAACCTATTTTCTAATGTTAATTAAAATGTGGAAGGCTTTAAGACCCTACTGAGCCTTTGATTCTCTTATGTATATTTTACCTCTAAACTCCAGTGAGGAATTGCTTAATCGGACCCGCCTTTTAGCTCACCACCAAGATTCAGATCCATTTTATTCGTAGTTTTCTATCTCTATGAAACCCAGCTATTACTTTGTTAAAACACTCATTCATTAGTCAGTTTCATGTTCTCCAGTTCTTACTCATGCCATCCAGACTCAGCTCTGCTACTTTTGGGGGTGTAATCATTAAGCAGTAGAGAATGATCTAACAGAAATACTCTTGCACTTGATGGCATGTAGCTTCATCAGAGGACTGAGGACACATAGAGATCCAAATTAGACTTCAGATCTGTTTCGCCCCATAGCGCAGCTTCATGCGGTCTTTCCCAGAACCAGCAGGAGGGAAGCAACCAGGACTCTGAACATGCTGAGAATTTAAAGCGTTACCTCTTAGTGGTGGGTGATAGCACATTCATGTGAGGCTGACATAATGTGTAAAATCTATTGCAGCAAAATACTATTGTTTCAAGCATTATTTTTGGATGAATACCTTTTGATCTATTTTTTGTTGAGTAAGCTCCTACGGAGCTTGCATTGCCTTCAAGACACCTAAAGGATGAACCTAAAGGATGCTTTACGATATAAAAACAGTCTGCCATGAAATTGGATGAGTTCTGAGAATGTACACAATCCCAAAGGGTCAAAACACTTTGTTTCAAATGACATCTTAACCTTTCCTCTAGCAACAATTAGAGGAAAATGTAAAAAAAAAAAAAATGCCATCCCTGCTGATAAAAACGCACAGCAATAACCTCTGTTTGTTTTAGCCTTCTGGTTATTTCATTATTGCTGAAAGTTATTATCTTCAATATGTTGTTTATTTAAAAGAAAAGGTGAAAAGGTCTTTTTAAATATTAGTGCTTATGCTTATTGAATTACTGGGAAGTCATCTGGAGGTACTTTACCAAAGCTATATATCTTTTTACCATAAAAGGTGCCATAAACACATTAATTTGGATGGACAAAACAAGTAAATCTTATTTATCATCTAATCTCATTCCAGGCTCCGTTTCATTTATGTTTTGATTACAAACCTGATATATACCTTTCATGATGCCCTCACTATGAATTATGCATTGATTTGATCTCTAAGAAGGCAGAGTTTTCAATTGAGGGGAGACATTAATCTGTGTAATGTATTATTGATGTTTACATTTAGGGGATCACAAGCAGAATTCTTTTCTCACATTACCGCATGCATCCATAAATAAAAGCAAGCATGGATGCACACACGGGGAACACACACTAGGTGCGTCATCTTCATAAGCATCTCCAGCTGCACAAGGCTGAGTTGATGCAAAGGCACAGATCTGTTAGGGGAGCAGGTGTTTGTCTCTAACCAAAATATAAGGAGATGTACAGCAAGCAGTAAGTCCCAATATTTTATATCCCTCACCACCTCCACAATCTGTCTTCAACATTTGCTCTAAAAGACATATTTGACTTGACTTTGTCATTTAATTTCTCCCCATCCTTGACCTGAGACAGACACTTTAACTGATCCAGTATCATTTTTTTTTTTTCAAATGAGTGTGCTGCCTAAATTATTATTATTTTTTTTCTGTCTTTATAAAAATATAAATAAGCCTCAAATTAGTAAAATGGTGTGATTTTGGGTTTTTTAAGTCTTGATTTTCTGTGTGTTTTTTTTTCAGTAAACAATAAATTTAGTAACTTCTGTATTTCTTGGCTTTTTGGATTGTTTTTGCTAGGGTTAAATTCTTAACTTTGGCAGTTTGTGCTTTCTTTTTGCCTTTTTTGTTATTTCGGTATTTCGCCTTATTAGTACGGCTTTGCTTACTTTTGTGTTGAATTTGCTTTTGAGGCCCCTCACCTGAAAAAGCACGATGTAAGTGCTGACCATTTGCTTGAGACTTTCAATGCAACAGCTTAAATCAGTAAGGAGACTAAAGCCATAGCAGAAGTGCATCAACATTGGCAATTGTTAGTGGAATAACATGAATTTGAAAAACCAACGTTAACCTACTAATTTCTGTTGGACTCTAGAGTTCACTTATTTGTGTGTATTTGATGAAAGTATAAATGGCCTAATTAGTCATCTGGCACCAGGTTATTTAGATCTTTTGCTAAGTTCCAGTGCAAAAGCAAAAGATTTCTGTTAGAAATGTTGTGAAATGTTAATAAAACTGTCACACAGACATGCATATATTCACACATACACAAACACACATAATACATCTCTCTATCTTTTTCGGGTCTTTCCTTGGACTTTCATTAATTTCCAACCCATTTCTACTCCACGTGGGATGACTATTTGCTCTGCTCTGGTGTTCTGTGAGCTCAGCATACCACGTCAGGCCAGCATACCCTTAGTAATACGCATTACATAGAGTTTCTCTCTCCGCACGCTGTTTCATTTCGCGATTTAGTCCGGTTGTTGTCATATTTTGTGCATAAAACAACAAAGAAATAAGTCACTAGGTTCGTTACACACATTAGGTTTAAGAACAAACATTGCATGTCTATTAGATGAGGGTCTTATTAAAGAATTATTTGCATTTTTTCATAGAGGATTAAATATTTATAGGGAGAGGATTGTACAGCCCAGTTGACAGCTCTTTAATATGAGCAAATAAAAAAAAAAATGCATCTGTGTATCAATCACATATGTGTTTTTGTGAAAATTGAGACCAATTTAACTCCATATTAAAACCTAACCCTAACCTAAACTCAATTTACACTTGAGTCCAAAACGTGACCCCTGACCTTAGATAAGCAAATATCCTTTAGGGGTCTAGACAATGGGCCCCAGAAGGAGCAGTTGGCCCCCAGAATGTGCTATTTTTTTTTTCAGAAAATGGGCCCCACAATGTCTCAAATACAAACACGAACACACACATACTGGAAGCAGTGTGATGAAGAGAGCTTGTACATACACAATTGTTTAAGAAGGGTACAAAAACCCTTATGACAAAGCAATGTTTTGGAGATTGAGATGATTTCTGTGTACTCCTGACAACCTTACCTCTTAGAAATAAAATTACCTGTCTGAGAGTTATTTTAAAAACATTAAAGGTTTCCACCATTAATCTTTGGGAACGGATTAATAGCAGCTGCAATACCTGTAACAATGATGCATATGTTTTGTTCATATTGTGTGTGGAATCTATTGGAATTTTTCAAAATGTGCAAATGTGGTAACATGGCTTGGTGCTTCATTTAATTAGTTTTTTTGCTAAATGAATTGTAAGGCAATGCATCAAGCTTATTTTTTGCTACGCCTCTGATATGAAAGGCAGATACACCAAAGCATGACAGGGGTAATAATTACAACATAAAGAGTGGATACAGCAAATAAATGATCAAACATTTATAATGCAACTCATATATGCACGTATTTATGCACAATTTATGCACAAAGATAATTCAAAGTCCACACCCATCTTTAGTGCAGCATAATTTGTATTACTTTCTCTTTTTTGTATGCCTTGTGTATGATGCAGTGCTGACATGTCACATAACAAGCTATAGAGGGTTAGGGGTTAGGCTTTTTTTTTTATTGCCAACCCATACATTTTTATAATACTGGTTAACAATGGTGAGCCAGAAGTATAACACTTCCATCAACATATGGTGATATTTACTGTGCTAGCATTTTCCAGCATTAAAAATTAAAGACTCTTATTTTATTTATTTTTTTTATTCTCACTGCATTATTGCTATGCACCTTTGACTTATTTATTTAGATTTTCTTTAATGGCAATATCTTTCACTTATTTTTATTATAATTTTTTTTTATAAAAAAAAATCTTTAACTTATTTAAAGAAAAGTTAAGTTCATGTTTACACATATACCTCTGGACAACAAAATTATTTTGTTTGTTTTTTATTTCATTTACAATGCTCTGCCTTGGTTAATTTGTCCATGGCAAAAATGCTCCTAGTCTGCACTCCTGCTGCAGAGGCTGAAGAGATTGCAAATAAATACAGTTAATAAAAAAAAAAAAAGGGTTTTAACACTTAATTTTCCTTTTTTTATTTCAATGAGTCCACACTGAGCACAATGGCTGCTGCACATATGAAAATCTCCAAAATGACTTTGTGTCTTGGCAGGAACCAGCGCTGTCCTATGGGCACATTTCTAATACATACAGTAGTAGTGAATTTCGATCCGTGCATGCGCAGGTGAGTACCTGAAGGTCATTGAGATGAAGGAGGGGCTGAGTGGGAGAGTTGAGTAACATTACTTAATCCACATGATGTGGATTCAGAAGACCTTTAGATGAACAGGCCCATATATCCATTTATCAGCCTTAAGGCTCCATTTTGGCTCCTAAAGGCTTAAAGATTTATATCATGAACTATGGAGCTGTACCGATGAAAGGTAAATACAGAATACTTTACAAGACAAATCCCCTAAAATAAAAGAGAACACACTGTGCTCTTCAAGACAGTCTGCATATAACAATTAAGGTATTTTATGAGGAATAATACTGTTGAAAATAAAAACCAAGCTTTGAAATACATTTATTGCTTCCCGCATCCTTTAATAGCTGTTTGTTTTCCTCCATTGAAGTTTATCCTGGGGTCACAGTTTACCAAATACGCAAATCCTGAGATATTGCACAAGCACGCAGCATGGTCTCCAATTTAATCTCCTGACATGATTTTATTCGTCTCAGCAGCTGAGGATTTTGATGAAGGCCCTTCTGAACTCAATGTTGAAGGTAGTATAGATGACAGGGTTTAGGGCGCTGTTTACATATCCCAGCCAGGTGAAAGCACTGTAAAGTTCAGGAGGCACGTAGCACGTCCTGCAGTGGGTATTCAGGATATGAGTCACAAAAAAAGGCAGCCAGCAGATGAGGAACACCCCTGAAGCAGGAAGACAGTGGAGCGGTGTGGGGAAAGGACAGCGGAGTACAGGTTGAATGCCATGAAAGTGAAACAAAGAGAAGATAGAGAAAGAGAGAGATAAAAAAAATACGTTAATCATAGTCTTATTTCATGGTTGTTTCCTTTCCCAAAGCTAGACCTCCAAAACACATCAGTGACCAGAATGCAACTGATTTTTTCATTTACTTAATCATATTTAGTTACTTTAACACAATTGTTTTATGTCCTACCCTGCTAACATGAAGCAATTGTGTTAAAGTAACTAAAAAACGATTGCATTCTTTTTTTCAGTGTATCTGAAGACAACATTTTTTATGGAGCTATACACATAAACTGGTTAACTCATGTATGTCACATTACAGTTTCTCTGACATTGACACTGGACAATTGTTGAACTTATTTGTACAGGAAATGGTATCTGCAAGCTGTTAGGGTCACGACCAAATATCTTCAAACACCAAGAATTCCTGTTCACAAATACTGTATATCATTCTGTGAAACATCTTTCATTATTCTGATAAAATACAAACTTAGTTAGCCAAAACAGAAGCTTTTCCTAGGTTTTATGTCTTTAGCTGCCATATTCTTGCTCCTTCGTTCTTAAAAGATATAAATATAAAAAATATAACCGCGGATGACTGGGGGACAGTGATTCGCCTACATGTTATGAATGCTGACATACGATAAATGATAAATTATGAACAATTTAGTTTGTGCCTTCAGGTCGTTGCCCATAGGAAGACGTTACTTGGATATAACCTAATGGAATATCTACAGAACGGCTCCAAATGACACAAGACTCATATGGGTGAGTATAACATGATGTAATAACGTAAAATCAAGGGCCCAATGTAAAAAAAAAAAAAAACAGTGTTCCCCTATAACTATTGAGCGTCACTCCCAGCTGTGGAAGGCGCCTTGTCTGAAGATGGGGGGCTTTAAACGAGAATGGGATGGCTTTTTCCTTCCAACAGAAAAGGAAAGTAGTCGTTACTACGGCAACATAGTGACACCCCATGTGCGTGACTGTAGCTTTGTGGCGCAGGATGACAAATGTCTATGGCCAGATAAAAGTATTTCAAAGAGGACCCTCCATTTTGGAATTAATTACATTCCTTCTTAAACCTAACTTGTGATTTTCCATCAGTGTGACGAAGATACAGCAAACCAAACAAATTTACATTTGGAGGAACGTCTTTTCTCTGCCATCAGGTCACCGTTACATCCACTGCCAAATTCCAGCAAGCCTGCAACTGATGCAGAATTGCTATTTAAGGGCTGAATGGTCCACTCGCCCTAACAACTGTGGGGTTTGGGATGGCACTTGTATTTGTTCCTCTGTGGGAACGCCCAAATTGCACACACGTTTATGTCCCAGAAGATCTAGTACTTGTCAAACTGTGAAGGGATGCACTGTTCCACCAACAAAGCTTTACTTTAAGCTTCAATGAGTTTGAGTTGAACATTTACCCAAACTGAAACAAAAATATATGTCTGTGATCAGTGTTTTAGTTCCTTCAGTTCCAACTGTTTTTAATATTCTTTTTTTGTTTCTACATTTTTTATTTCATTTTATTTGTTTTTTATTTTTTCCTACTTGCTTTGATTCTGTTTTATCTTCCTGTATTTTAATCATGTAAAGCACTTTGCATTGTCTTTGTACTGAATTGTGCTATACAAATAAATTTGCTTTGCCTTGCCTTGCCTTCAGTTACACAGTCTCAATGCAGACAGAGGATATTTACATTGTATTCTCCAAACGCTGTCCTCTCATCTTTTTCATGCTGATGTGTTTTAATTATGTTCATTTATGCAAAACATAACTACATACGTTTGTTTTAGATTCTGGCACAATATAAGTGCTGACCATTTGCTTGAGACTCTGCCACCCCTCTCCACTACTTTGTCTTCTGCAGCTTCTTGCTAACTTATTCATACCTATTAACTTTTTTTACATTTCCTAACATACAAACCTCAGACCTGAATGTCTTTTATTGAGATGTTTTATGATGGATTAACATTAAGTAGCACCTAACTTTGAAGAAAAAAAAATTACATCATTTTCAAAATCTTGCACAGAAAATATGTTAGATATTTACTTTGCCCCCTTAAAAAAGTCCAGTGCATCATCACTGACATTGTGTAACAATCTTTTTTTTTTTTTTTTTACTGACTAAAATTGATGACTGCATTTACATATGTTATTATTGGTGCATTATTACCTCCACTAATAATCAGCCTACTTTTCATAAACAAACAGTTTTATAATATTTTCTACATAAGTCTGGTCACTGACTGTGAGTTTGCTATCTGTTAAGTACAGAAGCTGGCAAGGGCTCAAACGTTACTAATGCATGGAATAACAATGCATTTCCTCTTGCTGGCAGTTCAGTGTGATTGAGAGGCAGTTGTGAGGCTTTGGAGATGCTAGCCGAACAGCTGAAAGTCTGGACTGCTGCAGCACGTTACAGGACTGGAAATGTGCAGCAGCAACACAATAAACAGTTTCACCATCTCCAAGAAAGCAAAAAGACGACTTAAAAGATAAAGAAACTGAAGGCATTAAAAAAAAGAGGTCGAGCAGCGAGCAACCCTTCTCCAGGTGAAAGGCACCAATGAAGGAGAAAGATTTTAAAAAGGAAGCTGAAGTAGCATGTTTCTCCTTGGCAAGTTAAATGTACTGCCTTAATTGGCCTAAATCTAACATTTTCCATTCAGTTTAATTAGACAATGTTACAAGCTACCATAGAAAGGATAACAGCAGATCCTGCCAACATAGACCAATCATGTTGGTACAGATTTGCAGGTGAGTTTAGTGGCTTTCAAAGTCGCTGTGAATGCTGGCATTTCATTACAGAAAATACCAGTGTCATAGTCTTGGCGCTGATGACAGGTCTGTTTACACATTTTATTCTCCTGCCTTGCTCCTCCCAGTTCTCATTACCACTCATCTGATCCACCGGCTAAAATGATTTAAACAGCCTTCTAACCAGTCATCAGTGCCAGATTATTTGAGCCTTTGGTGGGAGTTCTCTAGCGTACCTGTGTTTTCTGACTGTTTAAACCTGATCCAATCTGCCTCTGAGCCTGCCTGATCTTGTTCTGATCTGTTTGCCTGATCTGTCTTTGGATTCCTGCTTGATATCTTCCTTTCTGTAAACCGAACCTGGAACTGTTCCTGACTCCGTTGTGGATTTCCTTTCGGCACCTCTTTGGACCTCTGATCTCATGGCTCTGACTACCGAGCACATCTTCAACATCTGCTTTGGCTCTGCCCTCTGGATTTCCCTGCATTCATTCGTCTGCTCAGCTCTGATCTCCTGTGTGCCGACCTCAGAGACATCAGCGTCTGGGACCCTCTGGGCAATGTCCGCCGTGTTTCATTTCCAGCTGACCGACTGGAACCAACTTCTTCCTCTGGGCTTGGACTGAACTATAAGACCAGGTTTGTGACATGACGTGGTTACGCCTGCATTGGTGAGGCTTTTTGACACATGGGGGCTACTGCTTCCGCAATAGATGTTTGTGGCAGTGACATGCTGAGTTTTAGTGTTTGTTTGAATGAAATACCCCCATTTCACCTCTAGATGACAGTAATTCTTACACAATGTCCCTTTATTAGAAGCAAAATTCAGCTTTTCTGTCCAGCTTCAGAGGTGAACAAACAGGCTCATAAGGAGCAAATGACAAAGGTGACAGGTTGGGGGTAATGTAGTGGGGGTTTATAGAGCTGGATTAGATTATCTAAGAATCTTCCAAGCTTTTAACATCTCACAGATAAATATTTACTCTGTCATCTTAAATATGAAGAGTAGGGCAAAACGGGAAACTGACCAAGATATGGCTACAAACCTAATATTGAGGATGTCTAATAAAACAATGTTTTAATTAGAAAATAATTTATTATTAGTGTCGCTTTTCAAGGAGTTTGTGACATATACACAGATAATAAAATGTTAAGGCTGCAGAGAATCTGCAGTTCACTTTGTAACTTGGACCTGAAGATTACTGAGAAATCAGGTTGAGTTTGGGAAAACGCGAGAAATTGGCCTAACAGAGATGTTCTTTTGTATATGTGCACGGCTCTCATTACCAAAACCAGTGTAATGTAATCCAGCATCACTGATTGGAGTTTTGTCAGGCATTTGCAATCCCAGGGTGAACTGGACAGAGCTTAAAATAACCTGGCTGGCCAGTGAAGTGAGTGTACAAGGTGTCCTGACTCCTGAACAACACACACTGCAGTCCTGAGCTCAGCCAAACCTCTTTTTGACATTTAAGCTTTTAATGCAGCTCTGCAAGAAATAAGGTTAGAGCACAGAGATTAAGTAAATACTGTTGTGCCGTCATGGCAAAAGGAGAGCTCCTGTGAGCCAGTACAAGAGGCAGAAAGGTTCATTAGGAAAAATGTTAAAGGAGCTGAAGTTGATTAAAGAATAGGGCTACTTTAAGAAATGTGTCTCCACAGTGTGCTCCCTTGACATTTACATGCTGGTTTTCTTATTTAATCCCTATTATGAAAGCGTTGACTCACCAAGCACAATGGCCAACATTTGAGTTGCCTTTTTCTCCCGAGCGTGCATGCTCCTGAATCGTTGGCTGGTATAAGAATGAGACATTGGCCGCAGCGACGTGTGCGTCCGACCATTTGTCAGATCCTTAACCTCGCACCCCATCCTGACAGGAGGGTGTTCCTGGTCATTGTCCACTGCATCCTGCCCTCTTTGGTCCTGCTCCAGATCCAAGTCAGTGCGGCCACAGGAGGCATGGCTGATGCTGCAGTAGTTTTGTGTGTCCACTGGGGGCAGCACAGAGTTCTCCACTGGTCCGGTCTTTGGGCGTTTGCCCCACAGGAAGCCTGAGAGCAGATTGGGCTTGGATGGACCTGATGGTTCAACACTCTGCTGAGGTGGAAAAAGGGTTTTCTGTCAGTGCAAGTGTTTTTTTCTTAACTCTTAAAGTGCACAAAAATAGTTATAAATAAGTGGCACATGAGAAATGATCAACCATAATAACAATCACAATTTGCATTCAGTAGCAGAGTATAAGATCTGTGCAGCATGTTTAGAATTTTCAGCTCATTGTTTTGGTTTTCCCAAGATCTTGATAAATTAGAAGTCAATTTCCTACTACAACAGACAGAAATCCAAAGTAATCTAACTCTGGTGAATTGGTAAAAAAAAAAGTCCCTTACAACTGATAAGTTAAAATGAAATGGTTTAAATATTTTTTTTACGGTATATTAATTGGCTGAAATCAACACTGATATAGCCTCCAGTGACACAATTGACTCCATGAAGCTCCAAAGTTAGATTTTCTAAGTAAAGTGGTTGGAAGTGTACAACAAGTGAGCCACATTATGTTCATTTTTATGGCTAACAGCTAATCACAACCCAGAATTCAGGTTTTCTAAAAATGTTAATACTTGATAAAACCAATGAAGTGAAAGGTTATGCTGTGCAGAACCATGAGGAAGACAGTCATAGCCTCTAGAGTCACACACAGATACATTCAGATCCAGGGCTACAACTACAGGTATTGCATTCCCTTTGTCAAGTCCCTCCCTAATAAAAAAAAAAAGAAACAAACAAACAATGAAAATCTTTTAGCATGGATGAACAAAAGAAGAGAGGGTTAAAACTGTTTCAAGGAAAGTATACTTTCATTTTATTTGGAGATAAAGTCCATTTGCATGGAGCCAAAATCACAAATATAATGGTAGTGGTATCACCACGCTTATAATGCCATCCAATTAACCTGACCTAAACCCCAGAGCAACAATGCTGACATGCTGAAAGTCACTATTAAAGCAACCAATTTAGCTGGGACTTTTCAAAAGAATGATATTTCTGTATTTTTTTTTTTATGTGTTATAATATGCAATCCATAATTATTCACATAAAGAGAGAAATCAGTTGAAGTATATTACATTGAGTCTATGTAGTTCAGCTCATTCAGTAAACTGAAAAAGTCTACTTTTCTGTGATTCTTTTCTATTCTTTTCTTTAATAGACTAAGAGGCACCTAAAATATATCTAGTAAACAGAAAAAACAATTGTTTCTTCAAAGGTAAATAAACTAAAAATTCTTTAAATTGTTTTTACAGATAGTTTTAATGCCCCAATGTATTAAAGAATAATCATTGAGGATTTTATATTCGATAATTGCACTTCATTGCCTTTGAATCAGGATTCTCTCTACCTGTGTGGAGTCTTTTAAATAACAAGAGTCCATTTGCCTAATTCCCCTTGGGTTCATTTGGTTATACTAGCAGATAATTGCTACTCCAAGCCAACAAAGTGTTTAATAAGGCTGAGAAAATTTGACTTTGCAGCTGATTCAAGCTGTTTTAGGAGACACAAACTTTTTTTTACACTGCAGCTCTACTTGGGCATTCAGCACACATCAGGAAGCGTATTATGAGCATTAGTAAATGCAGCCTTTTATTCCTGCAGCTTGTTCATACATCACCCATATAACCAAGTCTTCACCAGCTGCTTTAATTAGCCATTTCCTTCACGAGGAATAACATCAATCAATAAGGTTCAAGCAGTGCGGCAAAAAACAGAAACTTTCTGTTCTACTTTCTGACTCATATCAACTTATGTTTACCTCTAAGCAAAACTACAGATTGTTATTTGCTCAGCTTTCAAGCAGCCTGCAGGTTGTGCAGGTGCTGCAGTGCGTCATCCCTAGACTTTGCTTAGATGACAAGCGACCAGGTGACGTAAGAGCAAGCTACGCTTCAGAATTGCAATTTCAGACTCCCTCTCAGACCGCTGGGCTTGTAACCGCTCAGTGGATCGAAAGAGATCCTGAGTTTGCATGAAAATGCACAGACGGGGAAAAGGAAAGAATAGAAACAGAAGGACCTTGTTTAGTCACCGGGTCACAACAATCTGGGACTGTTACTAACTAGATTGTCATGCTTTCATTTGATCATAACCTGAAAACATCACTCACCACTTTAATCCTTATAGGTGATAAGTCTTGTCTTCCCTTAGGAGTTTCTTCCTGCAGACACGTCTCCTAAGAAAACAGAAAGGAGGTAAATAAATAAAACATTTTTTGGATGAATGCACAAAACCTCATCAGTATACAAGTAGCACATTTCTCCGCCCTTCACTCGAAACTCATCAATTCGGCTTGTCTTATCGCAGAGGACGGTTTTATTGGAATTCATGACAGGGACAGAGCAAATCAAGGAAACTGGGTTACTTGTCGTGTATGTTTTCATGCCGTCTGACTCCTGAGTCAACTCAATTAAAGCGCACTACAAACTTCATGATGCACACTATTGAAAATGTAGAGAAGATAAAGTTTGAAATCCCAAATAGGGAAGCTTATAACCTGCTGTGTAAGTTCAATTAAGACCGTCTCCTGACTTGGGACTGGGGTTGCTGAATCACCTATACAGAAAATGCAAAGAAGACAACAAAAAGAACCATAATCCATAACAGATGTATAGGATCAAAAAATGGAGATAAATATTCAAACCAAAGTTAATTTTTTAAACAAGGATGTCAAATTTATCTAATTACTGTGAGCATCATAACAACTCCAAGTAGTAGAATAAATAAAATTAGAAGATATACATAACTAAACAGGACAAATCTGATATAAAGTATCTCAGAGATTTAAATGGATAATAGGTTTGAACTCTGTCATCATCACTGGAACAGAGTTTAGATCCAGTTCCTAAGAGGAAAAACACTAGCTTCCTCCACTGTTTCACATTTATTTGGTGATATAAAAGTTATATAAAATTATTTAAAAATACATCTTTAGGAGGATGGGAGATAACCCAAAACTAACAGCCTTACGCTGGATTTATTTATGATATTTTCTACCACAGAGAGAAAAAAAAGTTATATTAGAAATTTTGCAGAAATGTTATCTTGCGTAAAAATTGTAAAGGTTTCAAAGTTGTAAAATTGTTAAAAAAATTATGTAGCTTCTGTACCTTTGTGCAAAAACATTTGCCCATTAATTAATTCATCAATTTGCCCATTGCTTGGTGTTTTTAGGTTATTTCAAATAAATGTTTCAGATAAACAGTCAGACAAAATGCATTTTTAAATGAGCAATTGATTTTTAAGGATAATAGGTTATTGAATCCAACTTGGGACCTGTAAATAAATAATTACCATCCCATCAACCCTGTTTAATCATTAAGTAACTGGGGTTGAAAGCATTTTAGTTCTATTTGAAAGGTAACTATACCAGGAAGAGTAGGATAGAGCCTAAACAACTCATCCAGTATGCCATAAATGAACCCAGAAAAAGAAAGAGGGCAAACTGAAATGGCCTTTAGCTAGAAAGAGAAAGAGGTTCTTCAGTTTTAAATGTTCCTTGAGTAGTTGATTACTTTTAACTATGGTATCAGTTGGTGTTTCTCCTTTTTATTTCACTAGTTGCTATGTTGCCTGGTTCATCTCATTCATAATAATAATTGAACTTTATTGATCTCACATTGGAGAAATTCAACTCTGCATTTCATGAGGCCCACAGGGAGCAATGTGGGGACCCAATCCCACAGACCCAGAATGGCAGTCTATGGGAGTGGGGTTCGAACTCAGAACCTCAGTATCCAAGCTCTATGCCCTAACCACTAGGCTGCCACTACCCTAAATCGATTATGCTTTATGCCTTGTTGGCAGACTGGGCTCTGTTTCCTAAATAAAACTATTTCCCTGTGTTATTTGATACAAAACCTCCAACATTTGCCTTTTTGTGATATTTTTTTGAGTCTTTGTTAAACTTTTGCTGTACTCAGCTTTCAACAAAATGTTCCCCTTCATGTAAGGCACATTTCAGTTAATTAGCCATATAAAGTTGAATAATTTCTTCCTTTTTCTTTTCAAGATCTTTCTACATTTGGGTCTTCTCCACAGTAATCGCTGCACATTTACATGCTAGCCTTGTCATAAACCATGAGGAATTTTCTGAAAAAAACAAAACGTATGTGCATTAAAACAAATAATACAGATTATGAATTTAACAGGTCAATCTTTCATATATCCAAAGAAAATTATTTCAAAGATATTTTTTAAAGAGAGTGAATTATAATATAATTCACTCTCTTTAAACAATAAAAATATTAAAAGTATTATATTTTTTTTGTTCTGTGAAGTTATAAGATACACTGATTGGTTTTAGCTTAGTGAGATATAATATATGTGCATTAGCTTAGTTTAGTGAGTCCCTCTTTTTTCCCTCCTTGGATTTTTTTCTTTTTTCTACTTTTTTTTTTTCACGATTGAATACTTAGGAGGTTTCAGCATAGGCCTAAGCTAATTTGAGTAAATAGAAACAAAAGCTTTGAGTTGAGAATTTCATTAATTAAATGAGAAATGGTTTTTAAACCAATCTAACTCCACTGATAAAGGTAAGTACCGCCAGAAATTGATGAGGGGTTGCGCCATCAAACAATTGCTTAAAATATACGAAGCATTTGTGTCAACAATTCATCTAACATCACCATTCATGGATTTTGTCCCCCTAATCTTTGCAAAATCCTTTTAAAGAACCAAACTGGAAGGATTTTGACCAATGTTGAAGGTCAGCCCCATGCAATTGGATTAAAGTCCAAGCTTTAAATGCTCAAGAGCATTCATTTCAACTGCCTTCCACTCTTTTTTTTAGCATTCCAGAGATGAACATGCTGCAGTGCTTTAGATCGTTTCCCTGCTGGGCAGAATGACCAAATTGTACTTGAGGTCACAAAGTAACCACCAGGCATTCTTCTTTAGGATTTTCTTGGAAATAAAATAGATTTTATCATCAGTTTAAAAAAGAAAAATCATGAAGCACCAGATGATTGTAGAACCATCACATTGTCACCACAATTTTTTAAAGTCTGCAAAATGATATATTCCTAAAATGCTGTTATATGCAAAGGTTTTTGCTATATTCTTTCTAATCAACTGAAATTTTCCAAAGAGGCTTTAAAACATTAACAGCACATCATCACATTGCAATCTAAGTCAAAAAATGTCTATTAAAGCTTACTTTAGTCAAATGAGAGACAGATCTGGTCATTCCATTTACTGTATCTGTCACGGCTCAGAACAGCAGAACCAGTACTTCAAAGCAAGACAGCCAGTGGGATTACTTTTATTAAGAACTTTGGATCTGCACTCACAGCAGCAAGGGTGTCTATTGTAGGAACCTCTGCAGACAGGAAAGACGGGTTAAAAACCAAAAGGAGACCAGATCCGGGCAGATGAAGGAGGGCAGGATAATCCAGAGGGTGAAGCCAAAGCCGGTGTAAAGGACATGCTCAGGATTCAGAACCAGGAGACAAAAGTTCGAAGAGGTTCCAGAGCAAAATCCAGATAAGAAACCCATCCAAGTTCGTTAAGCAGGCAGAATCCAGCAGTAATCCAAAAACAGGTCAGGCAAACAGATCAGACGGGAACAGGCAACCTCAGTGGTTGAGAGGCAGGCCAGGCCAGGATCAGGTAGTGAAAAACACTAAGGTAACACTGAATCACTCTCTCCACATATTTGTGAATAATCTCCACTGATAACCGGAAGCGGGCAGGTTAAAACAGATCAGACAGGAACAGGAGGGCTCAGTGGTAGAGAGGCAGAAAAGGAAATCAGAAACACTAAGGTACCGCTGGACACACTCTCCTCACTGGCTCGAGAGAAATAATCTGTCCCTGATGACTGGATGCAAGCACCTTAAATAGAGGAAGGAGTAGGTGGATCAGAGTTAGAAAGGTGAATTAAATTCATAATTAAGCCAGTCAACAGCGCCATCATGACAGTATCAACAGAAGAAAATCAGAACTCCGGCTTTCTTTTTTGTTTTATAACAATAAAGCCAAGCTTTTAACAATGTTCTTTATCAGGTCCACTTCAGATAAACCTGCTAAACTCCTAAATTGTCATTCTACTAAAGGTTAATCATTTTGTTCAGGTGAACTTACACTGATTCAAATAGCAAATTTAGCTGTTCATTTGGTAAAATAATTGAATCAAAAGACAAAATTATCATGGAAACTTTATTAGGCGTGAGCCTATTTTGGTCTATTTTGTCCTTTCTTGGCCCGTTTTTTTTTAATACTTAGTTTTATTTCATAACTCACTGAAGTTTAGCTTTTACTGTATATCTTCTGACAGTCACCCAGGCATCAAAGTTTGGCTAAAATGGCTTAGAGCTTCATGCTTTTTATTGCTCCCAACAAACCAGTATTGTGAACAGACCATTTAATTGCTGTTTTAATGTTGTGTCTGATCCCAGCGCACACTTTAGATTGAAATAAGTTAAACAAAGTGGCCAAAACATTATCACACCCTCTTGATTAAACATACTATTTTTAACTTGACGAGTCAATTTAAATTACCACAGCTTTATTTGGACAGACAGCCGTGTCCAGTGCTCATAAACGGTGCGTTACATTTACATTCCTTTCAGACCTCTGTTCCTCTGAACACTCCGCTGCACTCAGCTTACATTAACAAAGCTGCCTCGCACAAAATTACAGCAGTCTGACGATCTCACCAGAGAAATGTTTCATTGGAATGATCTGCTTGACATCACTTTTCAGCCCTTTTATCTGGAAATCATTTCTAAAACTTTCTAAATGTCAGAGCCAGAGCTTTTACACAGCGGGTGTTTAATGTTTTGCTAATAACATCCTTTCATTCATTAAACTTTCTTTTTAAGGTTAAGGAAATGCATCATTATTTTATTTTACAAGTTTACATTGAATGGGTAAAGTGAGTATATTTTGACTTAGATTAAGTTACACTTTTTTCATAGTACAGTATATAATCAATATTATTTTTCATTTTATTTAACATTTTTTTAATTATTTCATACTATATCTAATGTTAAAGGTGTCTATTCTAAAAATAATAAAAGTAAAAAAAAAAACAACAACTGTGTTTTCATCTGCTCATCAGAAGCCCAAGGGGATACATTTAAGAAGACGGGGGTCTGCAAAAAGACTACATCCTACTGAATGCTTCCTACTGGTCTGCAAGGTACTGCTAAGCAGTATTGCCAGCTTTGGTGAGGTTCCATTCAGTTGAGTTTTTTTGAACACCTTAGGCAGGGAAATATGCTTTGAGGCAGAATGCTGAAAGTTGGGCTGCTTTTTACAACATTAGGCACATTTTGTGTTTGTTAGTTTTAGGCTTTTAACATAAGATACAAGAAAGGCGGTCAGACAGATCTGTCAACCTTGTAGTGCTGTGTTTGTCTGCCTTAAGTTCAGGACAGGTGCAGTTATCCTACCTAATAATATGTTATCAACAACAACAACAATAATTTCTTCAGTAAAACTGAAGAAATGTTTGACACAACGGGGAAAGGGCAACAGGTCAATGCTAATGCTATTAGCATCCTTTGAAACATTACTATTAACTCCCAGGTGGACTGTGGTTTACCTTGAACAACATCCTCAAAACAACCCCCAAGCATTCCCCAGAAATTCAGTGAGGCTGCTCACTACTCCAACATACAGCTGTTCTGCGAGGGACCATCAATAAATATGCAAACTAACAGTGCTGACAAACAAAGTTGAATAATTTTCAATTATTGTGACCTGTTTACACAAAATGAATGTCAAATTATTATTTTAGACTATAAAGACAAGGCAAACTCCCTTTTGTCCAATTTTGATACATTTTCTATTTGATAAGATTGTCGCTTCAAAAGCTTCAAAATTTATACTTTTCTCAAACAGCTTTTAGGTTATGTGTGAGTGACACAAAACTAATGTCAAATCATTTTACTAGACCTGACAGACGATCTTGGCTTATTTATCACTACTGTGGCTACTAAACATATCATTCCAACTTTCATGTAAAGCCCTCTAGTTGGAGGGCTGAACATGAGGTGGAGGCTTGTGTGCAAACTTTGAGTCACACTTGGATATATGAAGGAAGATGGCTTGGATTTATGTGTGAATATGGTTTTATAAATAGTTTTATACCATTTTCAAATGTTTGGCGTACAAACACTTTCAGTCTGTGTGTTTTAATAATGACAACTGTGGACTTGGATTACAATGCACAAGTCCAGAGAAGTGTTACACACAGAGATCTCAACCACTGAGGCCGTGTTTTCTTGACATTCATCAGGAAAATGATGCTGTAATCTATATCAGAAGGATAAAAAAACAAATGGACTCAGGAACAGTTAATTTCCCAAAGCTATGTAAGCGATCGCCCCCACTGCCCCACTGCAGTCACCCACATTCCATCATACTTTCAAGTTGACACACTCACTTCTTCTCAGTGAACAACATCATATAAACACTGAACACCCTTGCTTACGATCAAATAAAACCACCTGCCAATTTTATAATCAGTTTCAGCACAGCTGCACTTTATATAAGCACTAAATGCTACAAATCTATGTCTATATTGTCTTCCAAGGATGAAGGAGAAGGATGTTTAATATTTAATACTTTTTGTACGCCTTGAGGGCACTTTTTTAATTACATTTTTGGGGTCATCTCTAAGAATGCTAATTTTTCTCACATATGCATTCTTAGCAGGGGTCTGACAAAAATTTACTATAGGATACCCCCCACCCCCACTCCCAAAAAAATGGACAAGACATCTTAACTGGATTGAGAAAGAAGACAACTAGTAAGTTAAGATCCGGTATTTTCCATTTCATACTGTATATATCAAAGCATTAATATTGTGTTGGTGTGGGGGTAATTTCAATTTATCCATGAGTGCTCGTTGAAAGAGCTTAGTGTTTCCTACCCTAATATAATTCACAATCACAAATGATTCACAACGACAAGTCAACATTTTCCCTAGTTCACATAATCAATAAGGAGGAGCTCCTATCTGCTTGCTGGGTTCTCTTGTCTGTTCAACTCAAAATGAAAGACCTTCATTTTATCGAGTTAGTCAAGATGCTGTACGTAATGTGGAGCACCTAACAATGGCATTGGTGTCCATGGGTCGAGCAGATCCTCCAGAGAGGCTTTAGATTCGGCGAGTATCAATGATTACTCCAGGAGCTGCAGCTGGATGATGGTCACCTCCAGCAGTATTTTCCACAGAATAAGGACATAACATGTGTCAAGGGATGAAATCTGCTGTGAGTTTTTGAATGAAAAGAGCTTAGTCTCCGCTGCGCTTCTTCACCTTGCTTCACAACCAGAGTCAGTCCCTGAGTAGTTAACGCAATGAAAATTGAGAGAACATGTCATATTGTTGAAGTCGCTCTATTTGCAGATCCACTGCACAAATTGCAGTTTTGATTTGCTCCATTTGCCCAGTCAGTATCATTCATATCACTTGAAATGCTATCTTCACAATGCAGACTGCTAATTTGCTCCTGATTGTGGCTTTAAATAGCGAAACCATTCGCTCCATTCATTTCTGTTTACTGCAGTACATTTACGAAAATTTCCTGACCATATTCGTACATTTTTTCTCTATTTCTGATTAAATCAATATCAATCATGAATCAGAATAAAAGAGAATGAGTGAATTAAACCTGTATGAGTGAAAAATCAGAAAAATACATATTGATCAAAACAAAAAAATGCGAACAGCAAAAATTATCCATTGCTGTTTATCTAATACTAATATATATATTGTATAGAAGCTATCTTTAAATGCCATTATCAAAGAGTTCTGCTAAAGGAAAAAGCACACTTTTGAAAGTAAACCATAGGAAAAGGTATGCATTAAACTTACCATTGAAGGCTGAGTGGAACCAGGCTGAACTTTTCCGCTTGCCTGTCCGAAGGCGATCCTTTTCCTCCTCATCCTGAGGAAGACGTAGATTCGGATATATACCAGCAGAGTGACGATGAACGGCAGGTAGAAAGACACCACGGAGGAGTATATCACAAAGTCAGGGTTTGAAATAGAGCACACCAAAGGATCATCTGTGGTAGAAAAACAGGGAAAGTGTCTGTGCATTACACAATTTGTCCAGAGAGTTTGAAGGCCTAGTTAAGCAAAAGTGTGATTTTCTGGTATCAAGAAGGTGGATAACACGGACACGTCAAATAAACGCAAGTTCAAAGAAGGCATCACCTATCCTGAAACAAAATATAAATGTTGTCAGTAAGATATGGCAGATTTTTTCTCCTTTTATACTCTTCACCGAAGTAAATCAGTCTACAGTCATCAGTGCATTTAGTGCGTAGTCACATTTTCCAACCCAGTTTGTAATGTTCCACTACCTCTGAACAGCTCTTCTTTAGGATTACTTTTTATTTATCTCCGTCCATCTTTGCAGCATCTTACACTTTCTTATCTGCCCCTGCTGAGGAAAAGCAACCAGACAGCATGATTCTGTCATCACAATTTTCCATTCATCTTGCTTTTTTCAGCTGTTATAGCATGCAGTTTTAGCAAAGTCTACAAAAACTCTGTTCACTTTGCCAAGCGTATGATAAATTTATCTCTCTTTAATCTACCTTCTGTAGAGCTTTCTAGTTGTGACTTTTGAGCTGCTTCCATATTTATGGGATGCCACAGCAGGTCATAACAACTTATTCAGTCTAGGCAAAGTTTTCACACTGGATTCCACTTCTGACATTTGAGATTCACACCCTGACATTACAGTCAGAGGCTTAAACCACTTTACCATGGGGATGGTAACTTGTGCAGAATAGTAACTGTTAGTTGTTTATCTTTTGTTTTGACCCTTCATGTACTTCGATATTAGGGAGCATCACAGCCCCAGGATCATGGGATCCCGCTTAAAGAGCTACAGGGCATCAGTTCCAGTAGACCTGTGACCTTGATTCTTTATGCTCTTTGATATTGTGCATATGAATGATTTAACAGTAATGCATCATGAATTCAAGATACGAATATGCAGCAGAGCATGTTATTGAATTAAAATTCCAGAGTTAAATCTCCACAAGGTGAGCTTATATAATTGTAATTTAAAGCAATTTGGCAATAAAGAAGGGCCGCCTCTTCAGCTTTTAAGTGAACAATATGTCTGGTCTCTGAAACTGGCTCCTATTTTTGATTTATATTATCAAGTCATTCAAGCTGTCAGTTACGCTGCTTTTTCTTCCAAGTTGTTAATTTTCATTGCATTGCACTCAAAGAAAGACAAAACGTCTGAGCCGTGATGTGAACCCACCAATCTAGCCATCCATCCAACACATAGCACCAAATGGCAAAGTTTCTGCAATCAGTACTTGTTTTATTATTTGATTATGATTACAGTGGGGAAAAGAAAATGCGTTTAATTGAAGCAGTCTGTTATTATGTCTGTCATTATTTTTAATTAAACAGTTGTGCACATTCACTTCTGCTTTTTGATAGGCACTTAAGATGTTGCACAGTAATCTATTGTTTGGATGTGGGTTACTGTTGTAAGTATACTATCATGTTTGTCATCAAGGAAAATATGAGTGATTAAGAGTGTGTTTTATGTCTAAATATAAATAACAAATCATAAAAAAATTTCAAATAAAGAGTCTTAAAAGTTTGAAGCACATTAGTGAAGTAGCTTTTTAGAACCACTTTTTAATGCAAGTCATTTTTGTTAAATCTTTTTCATTTTTCTCTCAAACCTTTGTCTTCAAAGTCCCGAAGAATATATTTAGAATGAGCTTTATTTAAGAACTTCAACTCTTACTAAACTGTGTGTCAGGTGTGATCAAACCTTTCCATATGGATAAGTGAGCAGCTTGTAGCTAACGATGGAGCATTCTGAGGTTAAGGGTCCTATGGACCCAGATGATTGGTGCTTTTAAACTGAACACTTTTCCTTCCCGGAGCAATTGATTTACATGTTATACCTATGGAGAAAGTGGCTTAGGAGCGCAGCAAGGCAAAATGAGGAGAAGCTAAAAGAAGGATGCTATTCTAGCAAGGCAAATATGTTTTTGATGACTCTCAATCTGCATAATCTGTTAGTTCAATCTCTAACGTTATGCTCTCTCTGCTTTTTCTCGTAGTAGCTTTGTCTCGTCTATTCCTGTTTGGCTGTGACGCCATCCTGGAGAGAAATATCAGCTGTACTACTGCCATCAACATCCTTGTTTATAGATGCTGGAGATCGGCCTGTTTTTCCAGTGTAGTCCTGTTTCTCTGACCATGACTGGCTGGATGTGCTCTCTTCAGCCTCTGACATGGGAGCTGGCTCGGAGCTCGTCTGCCTGGCTGTGTGTTTCCTGGACGGGGCAGCCTTTTACAGTTGCCTTTTATATCTGCTTCTGTCTCCTTCAACCCCAGTCGGCCTCAGCAGATGGCCGCTCACACTGAGCCTGGTTCTGCTGGAGGTTTCTTCCTGTTAAAAGGGAGTTTTTCCTCTCCACTGTCGCTACAAGCACGCTTAGTGTGAGGGATTGCATTTGAGTCAATGAGTCAATGCAATCAACTGGTTTTCCTTAGATAGAAAACTAGGAATCAAATTGACTGTATGATCTGGTTGAACTGTAAAGTTCCTTGAGATGACATGTGTTGTGAATTTGCGCTATAGAAATAAACTGAATTCAATTGATTTGAATTTAGTGCCACCTCCTCCTCCAAGGGTCGGAAGCCAGTGGATGAAGGTTAGGAGTAAAGAGAAAAATCTCACGCTGATATTGCCTACATTTACAGTGAAGATTTGTTTACTCCAAAGATCTGAATGGCTGTGTACATAGACACTAATCGGAAAGGCGATTGGCAAATCCACCTCTCTCTTTTGGAATGAAAATTCTTTGCAATTGGACTGAATTTAATTAGACAGAATTGTCAGTCTGACATGTTTACATTAAACATTTTTTGATCTAATCAGGCCTTTAATCCCTGTTTTTTTCCATGTAAACGTAGCTAGTGGTTTAGGAGGGAGTATATTTTCCAAATGTTTGCAGAAAGAAACTCTTTTGGACAAGATTTGGACATCTCTACTCCAATTTGCTCCATTTTAGTCCTGACTGCATGTTACAGCTCATCAGCCTTCTAGAACATCAACACCCATTTCAAGCACTGTTCTGTATATAGTACTTTCGCCAGCTGACATCCTATAAACTCTAACAGGCTGCAACCCCGCAGCATGATGCTATCAGCACCTTCACTTATGAAGACAAGTGATTGTACTACATTTTATTTTACGGTATTAAATTTGAGAGGTTGAAAATAAACATACTTCAAAAAGGTTTGCATAAAAATTGTTGAAAACATGCCTTGTCTATTCTTTTTGCATTTCCATATGATACTTTACGTTGTATTATTCTGAGTTAGCTTAAAGACCGAAGAATGTATTGTCCAATTGAGTTTATAAGAGAGAAAAGGAGTACAGACAGTTTTCAAAGGTACCTTCAGCATCATTGAAGTGTTGTAATACACTGTCCTTCAGTACTTGTTCTACAAGAGAAAACATGTAATGTATAGCTATATTTGTGATGGCGTAATTGTTTGCCCTTTAATGTCAGCACTGAGAAAATTAGAAATTGTATTCTTTTTTTTCTTATGCGAAGGCTATTTCACCAGGAACTCAGATTGGGAAAAACCTTTCAAAGCCTGATCGTTTTTCCCTCTTTCCTTTACTCTACTTTCACTCATATCCTCAGCAACATTTCGTTAACATTGTAATAAACCCTGTCAGCAATATAAACATACAGCATTGTAACCTGCTATTTTAACACCATAAACATCGTCTGCAATCTTGTTTCGGAAATTGACAAAGGTCGGCACATTTTCACACAGGATAGACAATGTTTCACACTGGTCTGCAGCAATCCAGCCTCTGTTACAGGGGCCATAATCTAAAGCCTAAACAAATGACAGGCCAAAACTAACTTTTCAGCAAAGGTTATGGAAAAGGCAGCTTATGATTAAACTGTCAAGGATCCAGGTTTTTTTGCTTTCTTTTTTCTGTCTCACTGAGAAGGCAGGTTCATACTGAGTGTAGTAACACAGTAGCTGTATTGCACATCTCTTCGGGCTCATCATTGGAGCTTAAGAGGAGCTGTCTGCAGGTCATTCCACACCTGAGTGTATATCCTAAGGTTACCTGGTTTCTATCCTGTAAAAGGATCAAGCCATCTAGCTCCCCTTCACCATAACAGTAAATATTTGGAAATCAGGCTCCATGACCGACGACCCCTAGGCTAATAATTTCCTCTTTTTTCATAAGACTTCTACCCTCCAAAGAACCTCTTCCCATCTGTGTTAGACAGCTACCCTGGACCCTGATTACTTCCTCCTCATCACCAGACAAACTATGTTATGTTATTTATTTGTCCTCCTTCCACTAGTGATGTCCTCTAGAACTGCAGAAGCAATTTTATACTTAAACTTTGCATTCTAATTGGGATATTTATACACATTGGTTAGAAAACCACCTAACAGAAACTGACTTCTTAAAAAATGAACTGGCTCTAATTAATTTTCTGTCAGTTTTTCAAACAGGGCGCACTAAATTGGTAAAGATTAGAACTGCTGTCTGTTTGAACAGGAAATATCCTTGATTTGGTGTAACTAAATCTCAGTACAGAGACTAAGAGGCCAGTTGAAACTGTCTGGTACTGAACTAAACTAGTCTAGATCTTATATTGCAGAACTGTTGCAATTTAGTAATAAAAAAAAAATCTATTAATGGCCCTTTCTTGTAGAAATCCCCATCCTTCATTCTGGGACAACTTTGACCTGTTATCTGCATTCCCTGATTGGATTGACATATCATATATATGCTGGTGATAAAGTAAAGACCTCTAATTTACCAAATCACTCCAATATATTTATTTTTTCAAACAAAAATAATGACTACAAAAACAGGAGACCGAATAGGTTTGTTTCAGTTTGGAGAGAAATGCATCATATCAGGTCCTTTGTCAAATAATGGCTTTTAGTCCCTTTGTAAAGAGACCATTTCCAAATTGGCCTGAAAGGAAATATATAATCGGGGGATTAAATTTAATTTTAAAGTTGCTTATCAGGTCTGTGCTTTCAGGACCAGCAGACCCTAAAAACTTCTGTCAGTCAATGAGCCTGATAAACTCTGTGCAGAGAGACATACTTCCCTCTATGCTTCTTTTCTTTACAGTTCGATGTTTTACTGTTCTTGTTTGTTTTTACATCACTTTGCAGGTGGTGAAGCAGACTGGAGATGAATTATCATTATCTCCCTTTTATCTCCTCTTTCTTTCATCTTTTCCCCTTTTTTGTTTTTCATTTCCTGTACTACGTACATTGCAGTGTCCATATAATCTGTAATATTCCCTGCATTATTTATAACAAAGCAATTTATATGCATAAATCAAGTAGAACACTATGGCGATAGCAGTACTGCTCCTCTAGTGAAAGTTAAATCTGTTGGGCTCTTTTTGGCATCAAGACAATTATTCTTATTGCCACATTGCCATATGGAACACTGTAAAAAATAAAATAAAATAAGATAAAGATGTTTTGCAGTTCTACTACCCATGTGATGCATGACGTTAAATTAGGTTAAGCATACAGCACGGCAAATCACATGCTTTGATGTTTTCAGCTAGGACCTGCTGACTGTGGTTGGATTGTACTTCCACACAACAGATGTCATACAAACCAAGACAATGGATGTTAATAAGAAAATAAATCTTGTCTTTTAGATAATTGTCACTACATAAAGGAAAATAAATGATTGATCCTTGCTGTGTTGCCTAATAGTGAGGAAATAGAAAAATTACTAGTTCTGGGATTTATGATTGGGATCAACTAATGTGAACCTTTTTGTTCATCCAGAACATGTTCCCTTTTTTACTCTGTGTACAGTAAAGGGAACGTGTGAGGCAGCATTTAGCTCTGAGATGTGCAGAAACTACGTCAGTACATCGGGAATTATAATATTATTATTAATTGTAGTTTTCTGACTTAGTTTAAAATGTATTCAGTTAATTTCACTTAAATTTAATTTCAATTTTTTAAAGTTTTACCTTCATTTGAGCATTATTCTTGGTTTTTAATGTAATGTTTACTTTTAGTTAGCTTCCTTCAAGGTACACTGAATTACATTGCTTATGGATAGTGCTATGAAAAAATAACTTGCTTTAGTTTGTGCAAAAAAGTCTAGTTTTTGTGTCATGCCTCCTGCTACCTTTAAACAACAAGCAGTCTCATTTTAAACCCTCTTGTGCTTCAGTGCTGTTTGTTACAATGGCACAGCTGAACTTGAAAGCATAAGTAGAATATGGTTGTTACCTGTGGTGTTAAAGCCAAACAGCAAGGGACAGGACACTGCGAAAGCAAGGACCCACACTGTAGCAATCATGGCAAAGACTCTTTTCCTCGACCGATGGGTTGTGTTGTACAAGACTGGCATTACCACTGCTGTGTACCTGGGTACAAAAACACACGCAGGGGAAAAAGTTTGAGCTTACAGGGAGAAAAGATTGTCACATTCAGGTACAGGACTATAAAGGACAGAAGAGAGTAAAAATACCTATCCCCCTTTCAAAAAAAAAAATGTTGGTCTTTGGGATCCTTTGAAATATGCGGAGAGAAAGCTGTAGATAATATAAAGACCAAAACCTAGACTCTACAGGGACTCCGGTTTAATAATTAATCAGTGTGCTATATATGCCACAAGTGCATAATGAGCACTGGGTAATAGCAAAATAGGGAGAGAAAAAAAATTTGATTACGCTATAAAAAAATTGCAATTGTATTGGAGTTCAACCTCAAGTTGGTGCAGCATTGTGTTGTTTAGAGCCAGATGACTGCCAATGTTATTTATTCTCAAATGATTACTCTGATCCTGCTCTGAGTAGAAAACGGAAAGTTAAGCCCACATTGGCACCAACTCTTTGTTCATTCTTTTACTACCCTCGTTGCCAAGGTTTCGCCAGGTTAAAAGGTGTTTGGTTAATTGCAAAGCACAAGGCTTATGATTTAGTTTACAATAAGTGGTTCTACTCTAAGACAGAAATCTCTTTTGCTCTAAATTAACTTCACCTCTGACTGGATCCAATAATAATCCAATTTTTTGTGTGTATTTCTTTCTGTCTAACAGTCTCAGAGCATCTATTGTTATAAACATATTAATATACAACAGGGTTTTAAAGGTATTACTTATGACCAGTGGCAACAAATGCTCCTAATGACACAAAACTGCACAATTATGCTATGGGAGCAAGATTGACTCACACAATAATCAATCACAGAAAATTGTCCTAAATAATCACACCTCTCTGGTGTAAATTAACTGGTTGTAAAAGGTGAGAGGGTGTCTAACAATACACAATTACACAAACAAAAAGCAAAAAGAAAAATTCTCCAGCTAATCTGTGTTGGTGATTAATACCTTGATAAAACAGTTAATTTCCCCTCTATTTCTATTCTATTTCTATTTGTTAAATCTGTCTGTTATTGACTTTAGGAAACCTGCCCTATGAGAGAAAAGGAGAGGAAGGTTTGAGACTACATGATTACTGACATACGAACAGCTTAAGTAAAGGATTTGCCTTTAGGCCTACCCATATTCTACTTTGAGTAAGTGCCATGATGCCTAACTTCAAAAGCCAATCGTATTTTGAAAAAGAAGGTTATATAACAGCATACATGATTCTATCTAAACGTACCAATCTCTATATTTATTATTTTCGTTTTAAGGCTTTTTTTCTTCTTGTACTCAGGGTGGATAAAAGTAGCTCTGCATACTAAGCTGAGAGAGGGTACACCTTATAACCAACATGTAAGGATTTAGAAAAAGAAATAAAAACGATTTGTAAATTTGTGCAAGTTGTAATGCATTGCTGGTAGTCCTAATCAATTTACAAAAACAAGCTCCAATATAAACTGCACCTCAAGGAATAGTAAAATAAATGCCACTTAGGAGGTTGCTAATCTTTTCAACCACCAGCAAGCTCCTGATATAACCCTGGATACATATTTGAAGAGTGTTCTAATTAAAAATAGTGGAGTTCATTTGAATATTTCAGTTTTCTGGGACATATCACACTTTTAAATCTACTTAAAAAACTTTTCTACATAGTTAAGGTCAAGTCTATTCCTTTGACTTAATGTTAGCATGTTTAATTTAATCCAAAAACAGAGGTATAAAAAGTATAGTCCAGAGAAAAAGTTGAAAAAGCCTTCAGAAAGCCTGAGGAGGTTTTTGATCAAGGATACTTTAAAATATTCCATTAGATTTGTAACATGGAAGCAAATTCAAAAGAAATCTCATACATTTTAGAAATGGGAATATTTGTCTTTAAAGCAGAAAGTTTTTAAACTGTAAAGTAAAAAAATGCAATAAAACTTTGTAGTAAATTAGTAGAACTTTTAGGGATTTCCTAATTAGAATTAGCTTATTTGATTGCTGAACCTCCTTTGAAACATTATTATAGAAAAAAAAAAACTATGACCACTTTAATTTATGTATTTCTAAGCATTGCTGGGTAGATAAAACCATGCATACTTAACAGTCACTGCTGTACGCAGTTATCAAGAGCGGGAATATCATTATATTCAATGGGTTTTTAATTATGAGAAAACCAATCCCCTTTTTGTAGCCATTAGATGGTAAAAGACCAAAGCGCTTTACATTACATTCAGTCATTCACCTTTTGTGGATTAGTTAAATCCACAAAAGGACAAACTCCTGCATCCATCGTCAATGTTGCCCCAGACATTAGCAAAGTCGTAGGATCATTCTGGCTGGATATTTGAGGACTTTTTGATCAGTTACATACCTGATTACGCAAGGATTTTAAGCATTAGGGCTGGGTATTTTCGCCAAAGTCCTGAATGGATTCGATTTTGATACATACAGTTCTAAATCGATTAATTTCGATTCGATCGGTTTTTACAATAATGAAAGTTGTTCAACTGTGTTTCAAAATAATCACGTGTTTTATTTTCTTCCTGTCATATTAAACACAAAGTGCAAACTTGTAAATCTGACAGTTTAAACTTGAGATGTGAACAAACTGTCTCATAAGTGCAAACTTGTTTGTGAAAAGTAAAAAAGTGAAGCCTCATTCAAGCAGCAGATGTGACACAGTGGGGACACAGCAGACATGCATGGCTGCATTATCTCCACTGTGCAAACCACATGTGCAGCGTTGTCTGAAACAACTACAGGGTGTTTTCTGGTCAGCCCCCATTTGTTAATGTCTTCAGTCAACCTATTGGCTATATTTGTAGCTGTCTGGCTTGAAGTCATCTTGAGTGCATCTTTCCTGCTCACGCGCGTCACTATAAAACAAATCGATCTCATTTCCTAGACATCGATTTAACAAAAATGTAAAGGAATCGATTCAAAATCGATTAAATCGATTTTTTTACCCAGCATACTCTGTACATTTTTCAAAACCTTTTTTATTTGAATTTTCTTATTTGTCCAATTAAAACATCCAATTTTGTCTCAACCATCTGACCAACAAGTTGCCACCTTTAGGTGAAAGATTTTAATATTCACTACTGAAAACGATCAAATGTAAAACTGATCATAAACTGGAAGATGCTCAAACAATACTGTCACCGTCCACTAAGAGGTAGGTTGTATGTAAGATTTTAATCCTGATTCGCATTTCCCTTTGGGAAAAGGTTTTATTGATATTGATATCAGATGAGATAAAGTCTGAGCTGTTTTACACAAGGTAACAAAAAGGATGCCTGGAGACATTAGAGTAAGGCCTTAAAACCATTCATAACATTCATAACAGGGAGCTCCTTTTAATGTATAAGATGTGTAGAATAATGTAGAACATCTACGTTCTTTTAACTTTACTTAAAGCCAGCAGCTAAATGTGTCATAATCCTGGTTTGTTAACACTCAGTTTACATTCAGCTCTGCTCCTGGCGTCATTATCCCTCATTCTTCTCACCTGTGCAGGTCTGCATCTTCTCATCGGTACTCATGCTTACCACCTGCTCCTCTGCCTATTTAACCAGACCTCATACCAGAGTGAGTAGATGTCTAGCGTTCCTTCCATGCCGGATTGACCTTGCTTTTGCCTCACAGATTCCATTAAATATATCCTGTCCCAGCCAAACTATTCTGAGCTTTTTCATTTCTGGACACTGACCTGGTTTTGCCTTCTGACTTAAGATTCTCGCCTTTCCCCTCAGATACCTCCTGATTTAAACTCCTCGGCTCAAATCTGTTTCTGTCCCATGACCAACTACTGTAGTTCTGTTTTTTCTCTTCAGACTCCAAGACAAAGAATCTCCATCTAAGTGAGTTTTTTTTTCTTCTGCCCAGTCATTTTATTTTTTTTTTTGCTCAGTTCACTTTGATATCCAACCCAGCCACTAACTACATCCCTGTTCCTGCTTATTGGGTCCCTGTTCACTTTGTACACTTTAATAAATTTGTTAAAAGTTATTGTGTCTAAATATTGGACCCTCGGTCTGTAACGTTACAAATTGGTTACAACCTGGAAACATGTATAAATAATTAGAAATGTATGTCAAAAATGGCTTTGAGATGAATTAATGAACAGAAAGAAAAATTAGAAACTGAATTTTATTGATGATAAAATAAAAAAAGTTACTTTATTGAACTTCAGTTATTTTTGATCTGGAACATGTAGAAAATGTTAATTTCTACATTTGAATTTTTTTTATATGCATGAAAGGTTGAATTTTTTTATATGCAGATTATTTTAACACTCAAAAATTAAACTGAAAAATAAGTATTGAAAATGTAATTTGAAAAAGTAATGTGAATTTTTAGCTTGAAGAGAAATTAAAAAAAAAATTTCAACTGTGTAGAAATAATGACAATGAATTTTTTTTAAGGTCAAAAATGTGTTCTGAATATATTTTAACACTGAAACAGTAAGTACCGTACAAACATACAACATTTAAATTTCAGTGGCATTTTTAATTCAAATCCCAGCAACACAGATTTACTTCCGTATGTTTATATGAAAAGTATTCCACACTGAGAGAAGAGCTGCTCAAATTTTAACTAAAATAAACTCTCTGTAAGACAAGAACTCTCTATTTATTGTCAGTTAAGGAGGTTATTTTCATAAGCTAACACATGCAGAGCAAACCTGGGACTAATGGGAGATTAACTGCTATGCAGTGTCATGGAAATGCACAGCTTCATCTGAAGCTTCCCTAACCGAATCCCTGATACGAGCTGTATAAATAGATCCCTCAGCACCTCTGGGTCTTGCTTAGACCTTTATTAATTTTACTATTCTCTTGGTGCCTCTGGCCTGTAAGTTCAAAGACCTTCGAGAGACTTTAAATATCAACTGTGAGACAGGAAGGAAACTACACAAATAAATAATGTAAATATGCAGTCCACATCCAAAAGAAACTTTCATACACAAACACAAAAGGGAGGTGTGGGAAATTGCAATGTTCTCCATTTAAAGTAAAACAACCAGATCAAAGAAAACATAATCATAGAAAGTCACTATCCAGCATTAGACTTCAAAACATCCATCATCATGTGACATGAGAGGACTGAAAGATGTCATCAAAAGTCCCAGTAAATGCAGTGAGGAGGTCCGCACTCACCTGTCAATGCTGATAGCGCACAGGTTGAGTATACTGGCAGTGCACATCATGACATCCAGCGTGACGAAGATGTTACAGTAGAGTCTGCTGAAAAGCCAGGCGCCGCCAACCACCTGCACAGGACAGACAGGCTGATTAACAGAGCCCGCATTTCTCTTCCTCTCCATCACCATGACGCACGGGTGAGTGCATTTCGTCGTGCAGGTGACAGAAGCCAGAGGGATTGGAAAAATGAACACGCAAATGCAGGGTGTATCTTACGCACAAGCAAGCAGAAAAAACAAGCCATGGCTGCATTGTTTTGTTTCATATTTACTCACATACTCTTAAAATATATATTAGTATATAAATAAGTTTATTAAAACGAAAATGAAAGAAAAACAATCTAATGCGAGCTAAAACAATAGGGTGTGCAGTTGTATTCAGCCAAGATTTTAAAAAATGTCTTATTTCCTGATATTTTTTCCATAAAAGCTAGCTTTGTGTTTTGGAATAATAATAATACTTTTGATATCATCAAACTGTTTCACCCCAACTGTTTATAGCTTGATCATCTTCTATTACCATGGGCCTCACAGATGATTCACAGATTAATGCTCACCTGAACAGGCCCAATCAATTTACGTGGATAGCCATGTCTTAGGAAATTTGGAAATGTGCGTCACACGCAGCGCCGTGTGCAGTGCCCTAGTGCTTGTAAATGTAATGGTCCAATGAAGGTACTTTAAAAAACAGGACATACAGACATGTCCTGGGAAATACGGACGTTTGGTCACCCTATTACTAACTATCAAATGCAAATAATGTAGTTCCAGTGCAACTTCTCTATTGCACACACTGAAAAAGGGGCAGGTTCTTGGTGCCCAATGTGAGACTGCCCTTTTAACAATAAATATTGAATATGTGTAGAGATTTCATAATACACAAATACATTTTATCAAGTCAGTAAAGCTGGCCCTGCACCATGACAGTGATGTCACAGCTTACAGGTCCGTAATAAAACAAACTTCACTTTATAAACATTTTGTGACAGTCATATGTGTCCTGAAGCCTTTGCAAATAAAAATGTAAATCTTTCTCACTTCCTTTGTCCAACTTTTATCTAGTGTGTGCTCAAAATGCTCAGTTTAAAAAAAATCATGCCCTTTATGACATCATGTGGGGGGGCGCTTCATCTAGCAGGCACAATATTTCTACCACTGACTCAAAGCATCCAAGCATATCCAAGCAGAACCTTATGGCGACAGTCATAATCATCTGCTGGTGAAAGCAAATCTGTTGGGCTATCATCTAGCTCTAGGACATCAATTCTCAAAGCTATATTGGGAAAACAGGATAGCCCCCCTCTCCCTCTTTGTTTTCAGACATCTTGAAAAAATCGTGGTGTTAGTGCACTGGCTGAGGTTGCTAAAGATCGCAAGATGCGCCCCAGAACTACCATCCATGTTTACTGCCATGCAATATGTCCTCTACTGTGAATGCAGGACACTGAAGTGGTATGAATGCAGTTAACACAGGAGATCAGATACAATACGCATATTTTAGGAAATGTGAACAACCTTGCAAAAGAATTGCTTTTCACAAAAATATTAGAATTAAGCATTAATGCCTGCAGTATGAACAGAGCTTAAGAGACCTCTGAGACCTTTAAAGAGCAGCTTGATTAATAATCAGATTAAATTACACACAGGTGGACTATTTACTAAATAGGTGGTTTCTGAAGGCAGCTGGGTGTACTGTATTTTATTCTGGGGCGTTTCATTAATAATAGAAATTAATGCTAGACTATTTATATTTTTAGATGTATCCCTCACTTCACAAATATACACTATTTTGTGTTTAGCTACAGTATGATCCCTTTGAAGATTGTGGTTGTAAAAGGATAATATATAAGATTTAAAGGGGTATGCATACATTTTTTAAGCCGTGGTATTGTAGTGGCCAGTGTAAGCTTTCTATAAAGGTGTTCTTTGATCCTTATGACTCTAAATCTAAAAAAGAAAGTTAAAAGGAGGACTCTGACTTAAATTGCTCTCACTACTTTCCATAAAAGGGGAACACAACACAGGCCAAACCAACAAGACCCTTATCTCCCACATCCCCACTCGGTAATGGCTGTCTGACAGAGACAGATGGGATCCAAGCACCATCACCTCATTTCCAAATCTCCCAAATCAGAGATGAGAGTGCATACCTTTCTGCACAGGGAGGTGGCAGGCACACATGAGAATACAAACATGCCCATATAACAGTGTAAATAGACAGGAATCTCTCTCTTATTTGCAGTATAAGATTTTGTAGTGCAAGGCCTTTTTTTGAAGTAAAACTAACTCAGAGATAATTTTTTTTTTATTTCTCTTTATCAAGCGATTTACCAAAAAACTGGGTTACACAGTGTCTAAACATCTGAGGCCCCCTTTCTGTTTCTTTCAACTGGTAAAAATGCAGTATCATCATCAGCATGTCAGGAAAAACAAAAAACAGAAAGTGATTTTTTTTCTCTTACTTACTTAAAAAAATAAAGAAATTAATAAATATTAGAAAAACAGGTAAGGTACAGAGAATATCTATAACAAAAAAATGTATAGGCCTCAAAACAAAACCCCTGTACATCTAGTAAATTACTCAAATACATATACATACTGTATATATGGACTGTGCTACCTTTACTGTCTCTCATGAGTTTGGAGCTCACCGTTTTCCCAATGGCAAGAGACAGAAAAAAAAGAGCTTACAGAAATTGATTCTCACAGTTTATAAATTACACCCTAAATTTTTTACAATCTGTGAGTAGGGTTTTTTTTTAAAGAGTGCCGAAGGATGTGTAAGGAACATCCCTCCCTGCCTGTGTGACTTACTGTCGCCGAGTGTATTTCTAATCTGGGGCACCCACACTAGATTTCGCTATGCATGACTGATTTTTTTTTATCATCTTATGTCTCGTTTGATCTTTTATTTTAAAAATCTGACGTGGAGAGTACACTTCCATTGCCTGGTGGTTTATACAGGCTGCCGTTGCTAAACTTATTTTGGGATTCATTGAAAAATGTTATAGAAGAACATACCTTATCTGTTAGAGAATGTGGGTGTTTCCAATGTTCTATATTCAGATATACTGATTGAAAGGTGTGGGGCAAAAAAAAAAAAGGAAAACAAATGTCTGTGAAGATTCAGGGTGGATAGCTTTGAAGGCTGGTAGTTACGCCATGATTAGATATTTTGAGGTGGAGGATTTTTAACTCCCCTCATCAACAGAGGTTAAGGGAGGCTTTTGTGAACCTAATGGGCCAAAGCCTTAATACTTCAAGCCACTTGCTTCGAGACGGTATCTCAGCAATGCCAGAAGCTTGTGCTGCCTTTCCTGTTGACGCAGGATAACTCGCTACTAAGGCAAATGTGTGAGTATGTTCTATTATAACCTGGACAGGGAGCTATGGTGATTGATTCCTTTAGCTGCGGGGTACTTGTGTTACAGCAGCTACTGTTTTGACAAATAGGAAAATTCAGCTGTAATAACAACCGTTCAGCCACTTTGTCAGTAATGAGACAATCATTGTAAAACAAAAAAATATCACTGGGTTAAGTTCAATTTAAGCGCCAGTATACAGATTAGATTATAAGTGGTGATTTGTAGAGTAATTTGTTATTAATAGATCACCTCACCTTCACCACCCTCTGCTGAAAAGCTTTGGGAAGATGCTCCTTTTTTTCCCCATTCACCTGCACTTTGGTACCTATCATAAAATCTCATCTCCTGCTTTAACAACCATTGTTTCTAAAAGGGCAGCAAACTAAGCTACATTTAAAGTCCATAGGGAATCCATGATGTATTGCTAAGAGGAAGATGAGAAATACCAGACAATACAGCTTTCTGTACTTTAAAAACTTTAGAGGCACAATTCACAGACACCATATAGCCTACTCCGACTATTAAACAAGGATGCAAAAATCAATGGAAATGCTTCTCAAATGATTCAGAAATTACCTGAAAAAATAGCATGACTTAGTATTTCTCCATAAACACCTGACAAGCATTGATAAGGATTCTCTGCTGATTGCTTGGAATAATGGCAGCTTTATGTTTTCTTATCCATTCAGATATTGAGGGTCCCATTTAGGGCATTCAAAATTTATTTTCACAAGTTTTGTTGAAAATAAATAATAAAAAAAAAAAGATATGAATGAAGTAGTGTTGTTATTGTAAAAGTAATTAATGTTGAATTAGTAAAAACATACTTTTTAAAATGGGGATCGATTTAAAGAAACACCTTTTTTCAAACATTTTAAATACAGCGTCATACAGGGAAAACTGTACTGTAAAAATATCTGCTTAAATTCACTTTTAATAATTGTATTTTATCTAAAATAAAACCCACTTATTTCAAACATATAATTTTGTTCTTTCGAAGCATAATGTTACATCCCCAAGTTGGATGTCTTTGTCCTTGCATCAAATTAACACCTTGCTCTGTTTAGGCTCCGCCTTTAAGACTGGCTGCTGCGTCCTCAGTCTGTCCAATCAAGATCACCTGAAGACTATTTAAGGCCTGTGAAGCAGTACTTCAGGGCCTCTGAGCCATTTGTCGGCCATACACCTCTGTGTTCCTTGTTGAATCTAATGGGCTGTTAAGTAAACCTGCTTGGATGTTTTTTTGTAGGGGAGAGCTGCCCTTTTGTTTAACCCCAGTTTTCTCCTGTTTATGTGTTGGGTAGGTAGGGTATTTTATAGTTTTGTATATTTTGGTTCATATTGAGTTAGGTAAGTCCACTTTTCTTTTTTCTGTAGGGTTTTTTTTTGTTGTTGTTTTTGTTATTTTGGCCTGGGCTCTCCCTGAAGCTTTTACCATAATTTATTCACAAGAAATGGCAGAATAAAACCTTTAAATGCCCTTTTGATTCCTTCATTCACTGTCTACATTTATGTTGGTCCTTTACACCCCCTAGACTCAGCCAGGGCACGTAACAATAACAAAAATACCTTGTCAGCATTACTAAATAAAAGATTACTAAGTATGCTAAAATTTTGAGGCAATTAATTCAAAATTTAAACACATAGTTGGCTAATAAAATTTAAATCTCAGACTGGTTAAGGTTTGCTATACTGTAACACAAC